AGAAAATATCGTCTGCATAAAGCAACAAAGAAAACATCATCTGCATCAAACGACAAAGAAAATATCGTCAGCCTACAGCGAAAATGAAAACATCGTCTGCATAAAACTATAAACACAATATCGTCTGTAAAAAGGTACAAAGACAATATCGTCTGTAGAAAGGTAACAATATGGAAGACAATATCGTCTGCATAAACTGTTGCCTCACTTGAGGCTGCACCCGGTACTGTGGTCCCGTGGTCGTCTGTTGGGGACGATGAAGGGTGGAGAGACGTGTAGATGAGGAACTGTACCATCAGTTCAGGCATTACCTGGTGTCGTGGTCCTCTGTAGAGGAGAATGAAGGGTTGAGAGACGTGTAGATGAGGAACTCTACCGTCAGATTAGACTTCTGTGGGGAACGATGAAGGGTGGAGAGACCTGTAGATGAGGAACTGTATCGTTAGTATAGGCTTCACCTGGTACTGTCGTCCTCTGTGGGGGGCGATGAAGGGTGGAGAGACGAGTAGATGAGGAACTGTACCGTCAGATTAGACTTCTGTGGGGAACGATGAAGGGTTGAGAGACGTGTAGATGAGGAACTGTATCGTCACTATAGGCTTCACCTGATACTGTCGTTCTCTGTGGGGGCCGATGAAGGGTGGAGAGACGAGTAGATGAGGAACTGTACCGTCAGATTAGACTTCTGTGCTGGACGACAAAGGGTTGAGAGACGTGTAAATGAGGAACAGTATCGTCAGTATAGGCTTCACCTGCTTCTGTGGTCCTCGATGGAGGACGATGAAGAGTGGAGAGACGTAGATGCGAAACTGTACCGTCAGATTAGAATTCTGTGGGGGACGATGAAGAGTGGAGAGACGTAGATGGGAAACTGTACCTTCAGTTTTGGCTTCACCTGGTACTGTGGTCATCAGTGCTGGACGATGAAGGGTGGAGAGACGTGTAGATGAGGAACTGTACCGTCAGATTAGACGTCTGTGGGGAACGATGAAGAGTGGAGAGACGTAGATGAGGAACCGTACCGTCAGTTTTGGCTTCACCTGGTACTGTGGTCCTCTGTGCGGGACGATGAAGGGTGGAGAGACGTGTAGATGAGGAACTGTACCGCAGATTCGATTTCTGTCGGGGACGATGAAGGGTTGAGAGACGTGTAGATGAGGAACAGTATCGTCAGTATAGGCTTCACCTGGTACTGTGGTCCTCTGTGGGGGACGATGAAGAGTGGAGAGACGTAGATGAGGAACTGTACCGTCAGATTAGACTTCTGTGGGGGACGATTAAGGGTTGAGAGACGTGTAGATGGGGAACAGTATCGTTAGTATAGGCTTCACCTGGTACTGTGGTCCTCGATGGAGGACGATGAAGAGTGGAGAGACGTAGATGAGGAACTGTACCGTCAGTTTAGACTTCACCTGGTACTGTGGTCCTCTGTGGGGGACGATGAAGGGTGGAGAGACGTGTTGATGAGGAACTGTACCGTCAGATTAGACTTCTTTGGGGGACGATGAAGAGTGGAGAGACGTGTAGATGAGGAACAGTATCGTCAGTATAGGCTTCATCTGGTACTGTGGTCCTCGATGGAGGACGATGAAGACTTGAGAGACGTAGATGACGAACTGTACCGTCAGTTTTGGCTTCACCTGGTGCTGTGGTCCTCAGTTAGGAAGTTGAAGGGTGGAGAGACGTGTAGATGTGGAACTGTTCCCTCAGGAGTCGCTCGTAATCATGTAGGGGTAAGACATCCCCGTCGCTGATGGAAGCAGAAGGTACATCACTGAAGTCACGGGACAATCTCTCTGCCATCACAGTAAGATATTCACCACATCTGTAATTACAACATTACACTTACATTGCACATAAAGTTGTCTTGCACAGAAGTATATGTATTTTGCTTTCATGCAGCGTGGAACAGAAATCATAAACTGATTTGAAATCCTAAAAAGACCTCAACAGTGATCATAGATTTGCAATCCTTTCTTAACAAATCGTACATTTGTTACATAGATCAAATTGCTACTTTCTCCGTCATTTCCACAGATAATCAAAACGGGCTTCGTTTATTCAGTTCGGGTCTAGTTTTCTGGGGTAAGTTGAGTAAATGGTGTTTAACACAGGAGATTGCCACTGGACACATATATGAGGGTTTGTTAACTGGTTATTACCATACCTAACTCCAGCACTTAAGGTCAAACAATAAATTTATGTACCTTCTGTCTTGGTTTTCTGCAAATAAAGCAAAAGACAAACTCGTAAGTTTCTAAACGGAAAGATTCGTCCACGTTTCCATTTACTAATTAACAGTTAGTGACTAAGTCGCTGTTAGCACAGTCCATCAATATCACCAAAACCAGAAGACCATAAATAGGGCTTCACACATTGCACCCATCGAACCTAGGTCTTTGGCGTGGACGCCATAACCACTTGGTTCCCGACTGCACAAATTACTGAATCAAAACAGCGTTGCATTCAAAAAGATTCATGAATTCATCGTACCTTTTACGTCCTTGCAGACAAGAACAGTAATTGCTGCCACCACAACTGCCACAGCAGTGAGCATAACGGAGTAGACAGCTACGATGGGGACGATGTCGTCGACTTTGTCAACACATTCTGATATAACACACAGTTTACACATATATAATTAGGATGGTAATTCATATGAGAACGGAGAGACGTATTTGAATGATAAGAAATGTTCTGTTACTATTCCTTGTTCGTTTTAATGCATATATTGGTTTTAAAACATAAGGAGGAAATAGGGGAAATTCTGGGGGGTTTTTTATGTGTCTTTTTTGAATGAGACAACGATCCTTTTTATAAGCTAACAGAGTCCTGTCTACATCGTATTTGAAATATAAAAGATTCATCGTTAATATTCCTTATTCCTTTCAGTGCATAGATACTGGTTTTAGGACATTAGGAGGAAATGCTATTTGTGTCTACTTTTTCAAAGAAACTACGATTCTTTATACGCTACTGGAACCCTGTCTACATCGCATAACGCAACAAAGGAAGCAAGCAATGAAGATGGAAGAATCATTCTTGATGTATGACGGGAAGTATGGCCGTTACAGCTGTCCAGGCCAGTGGATCTGTTTCCCCAACATGGCATATCACCGAATCCTGGTTATGTATACTCTCCCAAAAACGAAACGCATCATTAAAATAGCAATTTCATGCAGCAATGAATTAAAACGTGATTCATTTTACAAAAGGTTTTGCTTTGTTTATGAGTCCTATGGTGTTTATGTTTTGAAACATCACAACAAAACGCACCATCCGTAAAATACCCGTATTTAACAGCATGATTTTTTAATTTCGGCGTGTAGTGTCACAGAATACAGAATTCACATGCAATGCACATGAACGTAGGGGATCAGATAGTCTCAGTGATGGGTATAAATGGTTAATCGCTGTCTGTCGATTATTCACCGTATTTGGAATATTGTTGATGAACGCAAAATGCAACGTCCAAGTGAAGCCAACCGTCATATCGCCATTGGTTTGCTTGAAGCTGGCCAGTCTCAACGTGCAGTTGCCCGACGCATGAATGTTCACCAAAGCACCATTTCACGGCTCTGGGAGAGATATAGCCGGCAGAATGCGGTAGCAGATGCCCCTCGTAGTGGGCGACCTCGAGCGACCACAGCGGCGCAGGATCGCTACATCCGGGTACATCACCTGCGTCATCGAACAGCTACGGCGACCAGTACCGCTCGACAAATACCCGGATTCAGGAGGCTTTCTGCACAGACCGTCAGGAACAGGTTGAGAGAGGCTGGTTTACGTGCCAGAAGACCATATTTTGGCCCTGTGCTTCGACAACAACATCGTCGACATCGAGTTCAATGGTGCACCAACGTTCAGGCATGGAACCTACCGAATTGGCGTAGAATCTGGTTCAGCAATGAATCACGATTTCTATTGGAACGACGCTATTGAAGAATGAGGGTGTACAGACGTCGACGTGAACGTTTTGCCGACGCTTGTGTTCCCCAGGTGGACAGATTCGGCCGGGACAGTGTTATGATGTGGGGAGCAATCACCTGCAGTAGGAGAAGTGATCTGGTGATGATCCAGGGCAACCTGACAGCTCAACGGTACTGTAACGACATCCGACGCCCACACCTCCTTCCAATCATTGATCGCCAGAGGGAGTTGTTTCAACAGGACAATGCCAGGCCCCACACAGCACGTCACACTAGAGACTTCCTCCAGAACCACAACATCAATGTGCTTCCCTGGCCCTCAAGATCACCGAACTTAAACCTGATCGAACATCTGTAGGATGCCCTGGACAGACGGGTGCGACGCCGTAACCCACAGCCCCAGACACTTCAGCAACTCGCACAGGCACTACAGGAAGAGTGGGCTGCGATTGGCCAACACGGCATTCTGAGACTTATTCGTTCGATGCTGAGGCGATGCCGTGCAGTTCTGGATGCCCACGGTGGACACACAAGGTATTGACTTCAGCGCCACCACACGCCTCCATGTGACATTCAAACTGACTTTCCTCGAGTTGTTGCCAAAGATGGATAAGTCTGCATTCCCAGTGTGCAATTTCGCTCATAAAGCCTACAAGATGTTTCAAATTAACATAAATATACAGTTGAAATTCCTATACGCGTTTCTGTTTTTTGAGAGTATACATGGAAATTAAGAAGTGTCATAAGTATTATATATATAATATAAACGACATTGGAAATGTTTATTTACAGTATATTAACTATTCTATGATTGGTATTTTAAATCATATAATCGGTATTTTTCCTTTTCCTTTAAATATTACACCGTAAATTTGACGATTTGACTTATATCCAATGTATATGGGTTTGAGACACGACTATTTCAGACTTCTGGGCTTCAGACGGGAGATAGTTCGAGCTACATTCAATCGACATATCAGTACCATACACTCACAGTTCGAGTTTCACAGCCGTTACACATCATACTTGTAGTTAACCTTTAGACACCAACCTTCTATTTCCTGGTAGCTCCCGTCGTTTTCGTCTTCCCTGTGATACGAAACCAAGATGATAAAAATGAGCATTAAACTTGAGTAAAATAAAAGGAAATTATGAAGCTGTGACACACTCTCAATTCACATCGCTCCGAATCGTGCATAGTTTTGCTCTGATAGCTATGTCGGTTTGTTTGTTGTTTGACGCCGCACACAGCAATATTCCAGCCAAATGGCGGCGGTCTGTAGATAATCGGGTCTGGACCAGACAATCCAGTGCTCAACAGCATAAGCATCGATCTACGCAATTGGGATACGATGATATGAGTCAACCAAGTCAGCGAGCCTGACAACCGTATCCCGTTTGTCAACTTTTACGACCATCATGGGTTGCTGAGGATCAATTCTATATCAGATCTTCAGCTATGTATCACTGAGTGAGATGAGATATTTATTCATCCTACTTGAAGATTGATGAAGATACTCACCGCTGATGAACGTATCCTCTCTCTGAAAGTGACAATGTTCAGCAGTTAATTATGCATACAAACTGCAAGGTTAATCACAGATGCCTGTATTATTGTGCACCGATCACATATCCGTACATGTTTAAAGATAGTGCACTGATCTAGCACCGTAGACGCGATATATGGACAGCATCCGATACAATAGAAGGTCAGTGAGTGAGTGAGTTGATTTTTACGTGACTTTTAGCAATGTTACAGCAATATCACGACAGGGGACACAAGAAATAGGCCTGACACATTGATCCCATGCCAGGAATCGAACCCGGGCCTTCGGCTTTAACGCTTTAACCACTGGGCTACCCCAACGCCCAAGGTCACTCGGAGCTAATAGTTATGATAGGCCTTTAGTTTTTCTATGTTGACAGCTAAATTCCAAGACTGTTTTTAGACATGGTACATAACATTGCCCTTTTAATAATTCGCTATGACCTGTTTATCTGAACTAATTCATGTGACGTTTAAGGGTCTACGATGACGTACAACACCAACCTTCTATCTCCTGGTAGCCCCCGTCTGTTTCTTCGTCAAGGATGTATGTGACAACGCTGGGGGAAAAGAAATGTAGAAAGTGTTTGGAATCAAGGAATATTTATAAAAACAGTCCGCTTTCCTCAGAGTGTTGCAAATCACAAAATAGCTGTCAAAATGATATGAATGAACCACTGAGAAAATCAGTGAAGACACCAGGTGTTCACGAAAATACAGGTAGTTCACGCCCTTGGAACATTTACCTGGAAGAGTAATAAATATCCAGCAGCTCATTGACTGTGCGCCATTGATTTAGATTGTGCTCGATATCACACAGCTATTGATTAGTGATATAGTCAGTCAAATTGTGTTGGTGATGAACTGTTTACCCAATAGCCATGAAGGATTGCAGATACTGGCAACTGTTTACGCAATAGCCTTGAAGGATAGCAGATACTGCCAACTGTTTACCTAATAGCCTTACCATCTGGATATCAGATACTGCCAACTGTTTACGCAACAGCTTTGAAGGATATCAGATACTGCCAACTGTTTACCCAATAGCCTTGAAGCATAGCACATACTGCCAACTGTTTACCCAACACCCTTGAAGGATAGCACGTACTGCCAACCGTTTACCCAATAGCCTTGAAACATAGCACATACTGCCAACTGTTTACCCAAAAGCCTTGAAGGATTGCAGATACTGCCAACTGTTTACCCAATAGCCTTGAAGGATGGCAGATACTGCCAACTGTTTACCCAATAGCCTTGAAGGATAGCAGATACTGCCAACTGTTTACCCAATAGCCTTGAAGGATTGCAGATACTGCCAACTGTTTACCCAGTAGCCTTGAAGGATAGCAGATACTGCCAACTGTTTACCCAATAGCCTTGAAGGATGGCAGATACTGCCAACTGTTTACCCAATAGCCTTGAAGGATAGCAGATACTGCCAACTGTTTATCCAACAGCCTTGAAAAAGAGCAGATACTACTAAGTTTAAATTTACCCATTTGCCTTACCCACTGGATAGCAGATACTCACCGACTATGAATGTCTCCTCTTCCTGAAAGATATAATTGTGTAGATGCAAAATGTTAGATGAAAAATATATGATAAACGAATTGCTCGTATACTTGCATACCTTTGAAGTAGACATAATTAACTTGAAATTTGTACAACGATATGTGACTGTCAGCTAAGTAACACTGGTGTCCTGAAGTCCTTGTTGGGATGGTAAGTCTAGTGGTTAAAGTGTCTCCCGCTGGGATATTGCTGGGATATTGCTAAAAGCGGCGTAAACACCCTCACTCACTCACTGAAAGCTAAAGACCATCAAATATGTACATGTGTGCACACTATTGATTCATATCTCAAATGCCGTTCAAGCGCCTTGCCGGTTATAAAAGAAAAAAATATTCATATTTCTCAGGCTCTTTTAGCATCTTTAGGGTTATATAAAAGAAATTATTCATATATCTCAGGCTGTTCAAGTCCATCTTTACAGTTAAATAAGAGAAGTGAAATGAGTCTATGTTGGACTGAAATACACAGAGAAAAGGACATGTCAAGTAGATACCACCACAGTTTTAAGTAATTTACATCTAACTTCTTATGTAAGCTTATGACATAGATATTCAATTTTCACTCTATTTATAGGTATGAAAGGTTTTGCATATGATCTCAATAATAGTGTGTCTTAAGGGTATAAACTCTTCACACCGAACACCCGGGTTCGATTCCCCACATGGGTACAATGTCTGAAGCCCATTTCGGGTGTCCCCCGTCGTGATATTGCTAATATTTACTCACTATAAACCCTTCCTTAAAGGCTGGTCTCAGATTCAATTTCCCCACATTTACTTCCTGAATGAATAATAATAGACACCATCAAGGACATCTTTACATTTAAACAAAATCCACCACACGGACGTGAAAAATATGATATAAGGAAGTATAAATAGGACAAAATGATCATTTGAAAATGTATAACATGTCAATATAAAGTGAAATGCTTTCCAGATAACGTTTTACTGAGTAACTGGGTGGAAATGGACATCAGATGCTACAGACCGAAGTATTATTTATGTTTTACAGTTATACTAAAGACATTACATCTAAAAACATATTAGTATTGCTTAACGTTTGTAAAGGTGTTTATATGCTGACCAGCAATAAAAACGCAACTCAGAATTCATGAAAATTGTACTTTTTCAGCATGAGTTTGGATTTGATACTTTAACACAAGTATGATGTGGTGAGGATAAAGCATTCACCATGCAGGATGGTGTTTCCAAATCATCAGGGAGAAACAAGCAAGGATGAAATGCATGACACACGTGCAGAGTGTGGACGTAGGGCTACAAATGCAGGCAGTGTCGTAATGCTGTCATTTCACCGCAACATGCCACGTGTAAGTGAAATGGAGAGACACCAAGCAATAGGCATGCTAAATGCTGAGTTCGACAAGTTCGTGTAGACCGACATTTTCAGGTGCACCCTTCGACAATAACTCGTCTGCAGCAACGGGTTATGGCAACTGGCAGCGTTTCTGATCGTCCCCGTTCCGGTACACCCCCGTGTGACGTCACAAAGACAGGACCGGATAATCCAACTTCAGCACCTCCGGAACCGTCTGCAGGCGGCAGTAAGCACTGCTAATGCCGTGATTGGGTCTATGGGGCGCCCTATCAGCGGAAGAACTGTGCGTTGACGACTCCTAGCGGCAGGCTTACATTGCTGTCGACCCTACCGTGGACCCATCCTCACCAACAGACATCGACTGGAACGGCGCCGTTGGGTGACAAATCAAGGTCACCCTGGTTAAGCCAATTCTGTTATACGGCTGCGAAATTTGGGGTTTTGAAAACAGTAAATCTATAGAATCAGTTCATGTAAACGTTTTACGCAAATTCATTCCCGTTAAGAGAAGCACGCCATTATAATGCTATATGGAGAACTTGGAAGGGTACCCCTAAATAACTCTATCAAATGTCGCATGGTATATTTCTGGCCTAGACTCCTATCTGGTAAAGAACAAAAGCTGTCAACAATTGTATACCAAATGTTATATAATGAAGCCTGCATAAACAATAGCAACCAAAAATGGATAAAATCTGTGGAAGCCGTTTTTAATGAAACAGGCTATAGCATCTGCTGGGTAAGTCAACCAGCTGTTTTTCTCAATGAAATTAAAACTATTATCTCCTTAGGCTTAGATGATATAGCAACCCAAACTGAACGTAATAAAAGTTCTGTTCTGTTCTGGACAACGATGGTGGGATGATGTCATCTTTTCAGACGAATCGAGATTCAGTGTGAGTTTTGATTTCCTGATTTGCGTTTCTTTTGCTGGTCAGTATTGGTATATATCAGTTGTGGGGGTACAACGTATTCTGAAGTAACCATCCAACCCCGCCCTCCCCGCCCACCTCACCCAAAGCGTTGTCCCACACTGTCATATATAATTCAGCACATGTGTATATTTATAGGAAGGGACGGTGGGGTAGACTAGTGGTTAAAAAGTCCGCTCGTCTCGCCGAAGACCCGGGTTCGATGCCGCACTTGGGTACAATGTGTGAAGCCAATTTCTGGTGTCCCCCGCCGTGATATTGCGGAAATATTGACAAAAGCGGCGTAAAACCATACTCACTCACATAACAGAACGTGTCTATCTTTCTTATGCACTATCATCGTGTGACTGTTCATGTGAAAGCATTAGCCTTGCTATTCTATGGAGCCAACTATTTGATACACTGAACACACACATCGATTGCGTGATGTAGACATGAGCATGTGGTTAATATATGAACCGCAACACGCTATTAAGTGAGATCAGTATTTGTAATTGCTGAACAAAAGTGCGAAAGGAGTGCTTCTTGGAGCGACAACTTTACGTGACTCTCGAGTTATCGTCATTCACTCTCACATCACACCATATTACCTTCACGTCTCTGTTTTCTACAAACAACAACGATGACGACAACAACGATGACCACAACGGCGATGACCACGATCAGGACGGAACAGACAGCAGCTACGGAGACGATGGAAACGGCACGAGATTCAGCAAATCCACGTGCTGAAACTTTTAATATGAACAATATTCAGTTCAGTATGCATACGGGTATAATCATGTAACATCAAGCCTCTTCGGGAGGTTTTAATCCGATTCAAAACATATTAAATGGGTTGACACTTGCGATGTTCATCTGAAATAACCTTTCCGTGCAACGCTTTGTAAGTGATTGATGAGGTACGCTGTACATCCCCAACAACAACGTCATTGTCAACATCAGCTCCACACGAGGACATGCAATGTCGGTAACATCAGTGTTCTCATTTGTGCAAGGTGAAGAAACGGAAATATGTAACGAAAAGTGTCAAATTATATTTCTCATATAAATAGACTTTCAGGAGCACTGTATTCTGTAGGGCTGGGTTTCTAATTGATTTTTTCGAATTAACGGAAACATTTGGGATTTTTGGAGAATCTGAAAGTTAAGAATCATTGGAGTGATAATGCCATCAGATCATAGTGAAAATTAAATTCTTCATCAATATTACGGTTTCAAATGGTTAATTATTTTTAATCTTTGAGTGACATCTAAAGTGTCTTTGGTTATTTTAAATCTTTGGGTGTTCTAGCAGGTGTTCCAGCAGGATCAGGTGTACGAAAAGGGGGCCGTCCCAACAGGCGTCATCCCCAAAATTAGGTTGTATATAACAGATTCCATTGCTGAAGTGTTGACTTACAGACGACCTCCAGCGTCAGGTTCCGTGATGCACTCCCATGGCTGTTGTAGATGTGACACGTGTACAGTCCAGACACAGATACGTCTACAGCTTGTATAGACAACACAGCCTCCCCTTGTCCTGTAATCACCGTCTGTCTTGAGATGTCCCACCAGGTTACAGTACAGGCAGAGTTACAGTCAGCAGAACATCTCACAGCTGCAGGTTTCCCTTCTTCTACCTCCAGCTTGTCACTTGTGCCGTCAAACTGTATATGACCAGGTCCATCTGGAATGCATGTGAGATGGTCAGCTGAGAAGCTATTTCTGAGATATTAGTGCAGTTTGCTTCGGTGAATGAAGACATGTTGTTTGATTTGGCCTGTGGTCTTGGGATTCACAAAATGGTAAACGTCACAGACCCATATCAGTTTATGCTTTCCTCCCACAATCAGTACAGACTACAGCTGGAACACCGTTGTAACTCACTCACCCACTCTGTTGACATGTACAACTCTTATGACTACACAATACAATGTAGAAAGTGGCCATGTAATATGTTATATTTGGGATTACACTTTCTTAGTAAAGTACAAATTCTAGTACTTTTGGGTTGAGTCCAATCCGGGATTCGAACCCACATCCTCAGAGTCAGGTACCTAATAGCTTGCACACAAAGTCAGACGCCTAACCCCAGATATAACATGTACAACTCTTGACAACATATCCAGGTGAGCTTACAATGCTGGGAAACTATAAGCATATTCGATAGCCTCTGAAACTCATGGATCATTAAATCAGACCTGCCTATATTTCCTATCCAAACTTTCACAATCATCATTTCTGTTTTGTTTACACAGAACACAGTAGTCCACAGTAGTTCACAGTAGAACGTTGTGATAAAACTATCACTGAGAAGCACAGTTTCAAAGATAAGATACATGAGGTTCCTATACCGTAAACAAGGTAAGTTCTTACTCACAGAGGACATCCAGTACATGTTCATGACTCCAGTTAGACTTCAGGCCCTCCTCCACAGTCTGGCAGCTGTAGATGTCTTCCTGGTTCTCTCTGCTGATGTGGGTTATTGTAAGGTCATCTCCACCTGTAGGTGACCCATCACCAGATTCTACCCGGGTCCTGTTCCTCCTCCAGATGTAGGTCATGGTTAGTGGGGGATGGTCCGGGGGTAGACTCCGGGACGAGGAGTAGCATGTCAGGGTGACATTCTCACCTGATACAGGTGAGGCAGGTCCGATGATGGTAGGTGTGGTTGGCTTCTCTGTTAACAAATATAACAAATGTCCCGAGACCGTAACACGAGTGCCATTGAACAAGATGTTACTAAATGCTTTCATACTTGTATTTAAATACTGTTTATCTTTATTATC